TGTCTTTCTACTCTTTGTTGTTCAAGCTGCGAAACCTTAGGGTTTCTAGTGTTGGAAGCCATTTCCCTGTTGTCGAGATTGCTGCGCCTCAAGTGATCGGGAAAGAGTTTTGTATATAATTGATTGTATATAATTATAATTGATATTCCGAAAAGATATTTTTTAATAAAATATTTTATGTCAAATAATTATAATATTAATTATTATTACTTATAGTTACTGAATTTGTTGAAATATTTAATATTTAATTAACAACTCTTTCCACCGATTCTTTAACCATACACAAAAAAAATGTTCACAAGAATTTTTTATATTTTTTGCTAATAAAGTCTTAACACTTTCATTAAACCAACTTGAAGTATAATTCCAAAAGTCACTTCTATATTTTTTCTTTTGTTTACAAATCTTTTCACTTAAAAACTTGACTTTTAATGACCAAGAAAAGTCAAGTAATAGCTTTAATACCAATAATATGAAAGTTCTCAAAAGAAAAAGAACTAATTGTAAAGTATCTGGGGAGTTTTTTTAACCTTCAAAGCGAGAGGTGTACAAAGGTTTTCTGCAGTAAAAAGGTTTATTTTTTTCTTTTTTGACTGTCTGTGCTTTTTTAAACTTTCACTTTCAATGTTTTTTGAGGAATTTTGCTTATTTTTATTTGGCCCTGAATTTTGGATAGCACAAATTCTTATTAAAGATAATTGGCTGATATGAAACACATTAATTTTTAAAATATAGACAAGCTCCTATTGATCACACTTATGTGTTCTAATAATATCATTGGTGATTGGAAAAAAAAGTCAATGAAAAAGTTATCCTTCAATTGAGAAAGTTATCAAGAAAGACAGCTATGATATCAAAAGGCAAGTGAAGGATATGAAATATGATATCCTTATATCTTAATCAAGTCCCTTTGGTAGTGAGAAGACTTTTTCAAAAAGAAAGCTGAGATCTCCAAGCTTTTATTTCAGTTTTTACAGAGATTTCTTTATTCTAGTCAGGCTAACTCTATTGTAATGTGGTTCTAATACTAGTCTTGCAATAAGCAAATCCATATATCAGTAGAAGAATAAATTTCTCAAATATTTTTCTTGAAGTTTTAGTATTTAGAAATAACTAAGTTTCTCAAATGGTCTGAAGTCAGAGAATATTCCAATCAAGTAGATCCCTTTGAAAGGAGGCTGTTTACTTGAAGAAAAACTTTTTGAAGGGCTATGAATTGGTTTTTTTTTTTTTTTTTTCTTAGTTTGTAATTTAGTAATTTATAGTTTTTCAGGATAATCTATAGTAACAAACTGTATATAATGATTCTAATAAATAGAGAATATTACTAATCTATCAGAAGAGTATAATATTGTCTTCAAAATTTGACTTAAAGTACCTAGTTTAGACTTTGTTTTGTTTAGTTCAAACTAGTTTAGTAGACTTCTCATATTTTTTAAGTAGTATAGTCTTTTAACTAATAATATACAAAAATGAGTTAGTTATTAAGTAAAAATCCATATATGTTGTAGATATTTTTTTTTTGATATCTTAATAAAGGCATACTTTAATAATATGATTGTGAGTTAAAAAAAATTTTTTTTTGTTGAAATATTTGAATAAATATTTAAAATCAATTTAAGTATTTCAGCTAACTTATAAATAATATTATAACAATTTATATTTCTATAATATGATATTATTAGAAGGCTTGCCAAATTGAGTACTGTATATAGTTTAAAAAAGATTTTAGAATATGAACAAGAAAAAGAGTCAAAAAAGAATAAAAAATCAACAATTATATTCAAAAAATAAAAAATTTCTGAATATAAGAAATTATTAATATATTTAGAGAGTGAAAAACAAACTAGAAAAAGTATACAAATAGATAAAATTTAAGAATAGTTAAGAAGTTAGAAGAAAAAAGCAAAAAATCTTAAAAAACATTTAAAAGATAAAACCAATTGAAGCTAGTTTTAACAGAGTCAAGCAGAAATCTTTAAAAGGAAAAGAAAAGTAAGTAGAAGAAGAAAAAGAGGAAGAGGAAAGTAACAAATAGTTTAATTAATTAATTTTGTAATTTTTATAATTTTTTAATAAATTTTATAAAATTTGAAATTTTAATACTGGACTTATAAATTTTTTTATTGCAACATCAATTTTTTATCAAATTTTTTTTTTGCTGTGATATACAAATTTTTTATATAGTATATTAAATTTTTTCTATAATATTATTGAATTTTTTTGTTAATTTTTTATTAATATTTTTAATTTTAAATAGCAACAATCAAAAATGATTTATCAATATTTTAATTATTATATTTTATCAAACTTGACAGTAATTCAATTGCTGAATAATATAATTTTGACTAATAATTCTTTAGATAATAAAAATATAATTATTTATTTAAATCAAGACCTTCAATTTCTTATTATTCCAGTTAGACAAAATATGCAAAAAAATTATTTCTTTATTTTGATTAGGCTATAAGATAGAAAAACAAAAAATTGGGAACTATTAATCTTTTCTAGGATTGAAAATATATTTTTCAGATATTATATAATAATATTATAATCGATGAAAATCTCCAATATTACTATCAAAATTCTTTCTTTATTGCAAAGTAATTTTTTAAACAATAAAAGATACTTACAAGCAAAATTTCTTTAACTAGATGTGACTACTAGAAGATATTAAGGATTATATAATATAACTGAAAGATTATATAAAAACCTGAAATTCATTATACAGTAAGTTGTTAACTTATGCAATGAAATAAAAAATTAAAACTAAAAAAAAGAAAGCATTTAGAAAATACTGAATTTAAAAAAATAACAAGTATTTTAAATAATCATAAAAAAATAATTAAGCTCATGGATTAAAAAAAAAAAAAAAAAAAAAAAAAAAACTTTCCTGCAGATCCTTTTTTTCTTAAAAATCTCCTTTTTAGGCAATTTTGGGAAACAAGAAGAAAAGTGAATGGAAAGATGAATTCTTCTAGAGATCGAAGGAGTCAATATATCCAGGGCAGACCCAACTATAATGAGAACACTCTGGCAAAAGGTAACACAAGATTGCTATGCAAAGAAACCCATATGGAGACAACAAAGTCGAACCCAAAAAACAAAGGAAAAGAGAAAGAAACCTATCTATAAAATGATAGAAATGAACAATCAAGCAGCCAAAACATTAGCCGGACCTCAACCACTGACACAGAAACTATCAGAGAAAAGAAAATCAATCAGAAACAATCAATTTGGAGTGATGAAGTGGAAGGAACAATTACACAAGATTCTCAAACTGTAAACAGCGATAAAAATAGAAATACTCAAGAAACTGAACAAAGCGAAGACTCTTCTGTCCCACTTACAGTGGCAAGAATAGATGATTCAGATATAGAAATGAAGGAATTAGGTAGTAGCAACCAGACAAGCCCTGAACCTAGTGGGCAATGGCATAAAGTCTCATACAAAAACACATCAGTCAGTAGAGTAGACAAACCCAGATCAAGATCACTGATTGACCCAACAACAAGATTCGGCAGAGAAAGAGTCAAAACAGGCATCAGAGCCTCAGAAGTCCCAGGAAGAACCACCAACCAAAAGACTGTACACATTGCAAAGAGCTTGAATATGTTTACTAGCCTCCTTTCTACCTGCAGTGAAGGAAAAAGAGAGGAGAAACACATCATTGCCATTTTCAGTTATCACCATATTACAGAAGAAGTATGCAATACTATCTTACTAGAAATGGATGGGGCTAATCTGAAACATATGGCTTTCACATTCCCTAGACCAAATAAAGAAAACAGTATCAGAGTATAAGACATTTCCCTTGACACAAAATTCATAGAGATACAACAAATTTTTGTCAAATTTGGAGAGATTACAAATATCGACATGTCCACACAACAAATGTGGCAATCTGCAGTCATCACCTACACAGACAAACAGATAAAAGAAGATCTAGTTACCAAATAGAGTATTCTCCTATGATCAGACTCAGTTAAGATTTTTGATACACAATGGGACATGGATCAAATAAAGGCACGTGAAAACACAGCATCCAAATTAACAAACCTCCCACCCAACACCATGGCCTTTGACCTCAGACTTATCTGTGAACAAACTGGAGCTAAGACATGTTATATCCCCAGGCACATGTCATACAAATGCAAGCGATTTGCAATTATTAGTTTTACGAGTCAAGAAGACCTGGAAGCAGCCACAACACAGAATGTTTTCCTTGAAGAAATACAAGCAGAATGAAAACTGATGGACACAAAACTATGCACTATCTGTAGAAGTGTAACACACCTAGTCACTCAATACCTGATCAAAGAAAGAAGAACACATTGGAATCAGTACAACGCAGAACATGCCAATAGATTTGGCAAACTGTACAACAGATTCAGGCCAGCATGTACTGAAACTATAAGGTGTAGGGTAATCACACACAACAACCAAAGAAAAACCAGGCCAGGCTCCTATGCACCAGCAGCAAGACTACCAAAAGAAGAAGGAACGCAGTCCCAACTCCTCAAACAGCTATGGCAGAAGTACTTCACATCCTTAAAACAATCAGGAAAAAGATCCAAGAGATAAAACAAGATATAGCTAACCTAGAAGAATGTATCGTCAACTTAGAAATATATGATGAGGATTACACAAAGTAAATGGATGAAAATACTTTTCCTCTTGACACAAAAGAAAATCAAGCAACAGATACAATACTCCAACACAGCACCCAAGACATCCGTACTCAACAAAAATGCATTCAGTCATCTATGCAGAAGTTAGACAAACATATAGATCAAAGGTATAATACCATATTCAACTCTATCTCAGGTAGCACACCCTTCCCCCTACATAGACAATAATGGGTAACAACCAAAGCACCAAATTAATAGAAGAATTAGACAATTCTAAAGACAATCAAACAATAAATTCTTATAACATAGCAGAACAACAAACGGAAAGAATAGACAACTATGCAATAATTTTAGATCACAATCTAAATACAAACAACACAATATCAACACAATGATATCTACAACAACACACAGAGAACACAAACCAATATGGAAAGTCATAACATTCAATATTCAAGGCTTAGTAGAAACACACAAATAAGAAACATGGTTTAATTTTTGCAATGCAGTAAACTGGGACATCATAGTCACTACAGGAACAAATAGCTCATACCAACAATCAAAACACTGGTAACACAAAAAATTTCAAACCATATGGACTCACAAAAAATTACAAACCAGCGGACAAGGCCTAAATATCATGATCAACAAAGACATTGCATACAGAATCTACAACTACAAAATACTCGCAAGTAGACTGATAGCAGCTGACCTGGCCTTCTCCACAAAGAAAAAATGTGAATAATCAGTGTATACTTCCCGGTACAAGATATAGAAGGAGAGAAACAAATGGTACTCAACACTCTCAATAAGTGGATCAAAGAAGTAATAGAAAAGGGATGGCACCTAATGGTGGCAGGAGACATGAATGGGGTCCCCAATCCAGCAATCAACAAGAACAGTGATACAAAAACAACTATAAAACATCACCCCTTAGAAAAACAAATACAAATTCTTCTGGACAATAACTTGGAAGATATATATAGAACGCATAATCCTACAAAGAGAGAATATACTTGGAACAGATGGGGAAGTAGCAGTAGGATCGATCAAATATGGATGAGCCCACAGGCAATATGGCAATCAAGGACAGCCACTATCAAAGATCTCACCACATCATCAATCTCAAGTGACCATGTTACAATGATAGTAGAAATAAAAGTATGGAGCCTTGATACATCCAAACAGGCAACATACCACAAACACAACCACAGGTACAACTGGCAACTTGCCATAGCACAACAATGGGAGAAGTTTAGTGATCACATTGAGTGCAACATACAAACAGGATGCTTAAGCCACCAGTCTTTAGACTGTAGATGGAATCAATTTAGCAACACCATTCAGAAGGCAGCCAAAAAATACATCCCAAAAAAGAAATCTCATTGGAGAAAAAGATATCAAGTTGAAGATACGGATGAGATTCCACTCATAATACAACTATAGAAATTCCTCACACAAGTCAGACAACATCTGACAAATAAAAAAAAAGGAAAACTACACCAGCCATTCCAGATCCCAGCAAACATACAAAGATCAGTTCCAGACTTGGTAACCACACTCAACAAACTAGAAACTGAACATCCTAATACATATCTCGAAGAATGGCTCAAGGAGATCCATGGAAGCATCAAGGTACACAAGACAGTTGCTAAAGCCATCACACACAGAAGACAAAACAAGGCAATAAAAAGAAGAATCATAATAAGACAAAAGCAATATGACAAGGAGAAATGTGCCATGATCAACAGTATCCTGGAAAGACCTAGAAGACAAATACAACTAGACAGGCTCATCCTTCAACAAGGAGAGGAAGTACAGATAGTCACGGAACCTGCAGAAATCAAAACCAAGGTAAAGAAACACTTTTACAACTGGACACCACATAGAAATATTCAAAATCTAGAGTGACATCCCAGGTGACAATCTGAATACAGACCCAAATCACATATTAAGCAACATTACTACAAAGGTATATTAGAAGAGATTACAACAGAAGAACTTATACAAGTAATCAAACAATGCAGTTTTAAATCATCCCCAGGTCCCAATCAGATACCATATCTAGCATACAAATATCTGAAAAACAAAGCAAGAGAAGAACTAAGAGTGATTTTCAACATGATCATTTGACAAGGCATTACACCTAGAAAATAGAATAGAGGACACATATACCCAATACCAAAGCCCAAGGACTGGGCTCATAATCTAGACATAATCAGACCAATCATGTTACTGGATGCAGAAAGGAAAATATTTACCAAAATTATCACAGACAGATTAGCCAGGTGTCTGATTCACAAAGAGATACTATCAGAATTAAACTGGGCAGCACTTCCAGGTAGCAGTACTCAAGATCCGATTCATATACTCAACAATATCATTGAACATGCGAAAGAAACTAAACAACAAGCCTGGATTCTAAGTCAAGACATGTCGAAAGCATATGACTTTGTCAATATAAAGATGCTACAGCTAACCCTTAAAAGGATCAAGGTACCAGATACAATAATAACAATTTTGCTCAATATATTCCAAGACCGACACAATGCAGTCATAACATGCCATGGCTTAATAGAGGAGTACCAGGTAAGAGATGGTATAGATCAAGGAGACACAATATCACCATTGCTATAGTGCATTTTCTATGATCCACTTTTATCCAGTCAACAATACAAAGGATACACAATCAGCTCAAAAATTTGCACAGATCTTAAAAAAGGATGGAAAAAGAGAACTACAAAATATAGTAGTCAATGCATACATGGATAACACAACATGAACAACAAACAACAGAACAGACCTATAACGAATTATCCATACAGCAGAAGAATTCTATCACATTAACAATATCAAAATCAACCCAAATAAGTCTTAATTGATTATTATCAATGTTACAAAGGAAGACTTGGAACAAGGAGTATTGATGAATAACCAGAAAATACAAGGATGTCTCCCAATACACCAGTCAAAATCTTAGGAATCTGGTATGATAGTTCAGGATGCAAGAACTATAAAAAATTCTTAATAAAGCAGAAGGTAGCCAGTACACGTATATTAATTGGAATGAAAAGAATCACTGACAAACAAGCACAATATATAATCAACCATGTCTTAATGCCCAATATAGAATATTTGTACAATGACATAGTTCTGATCAGACAAATTTGCAATCATCTAATGAGCAAACTGGCAACAACTTTCAAACACAAGATAGGACTCACAAACACAATACCTAACAGCATACTATATAACAAACATGAATACAATATTATACACATATGGGATAGACAAGTACAGCTACATGCCAACAACTGGTGCATCAGAGTGAACCAAAACAACATTACAGGAGACATAGCATATCATCATTTACAGACAGTACAAAACATATTCTGGTTAACCAAAGAAATATATAATTATATACAAGCTCCACTCTTAGAACCAGGGAAAAATCTCACACATGATATAATTTGGATGCTCAGAACATATGGTTTCATATTTCACAAAGTCAAAGGAGGTAGCTTTCAGACTATAAAAACAATAGACACTACAATTGAGGAAATAATTGATCCAGAACTCTACAGTAGAATCCGCTTCAACCTAAAAAAACATAATGTCCTCTTCACAGGACAACTGCTCAATAGTAATAGAGAGAAACTGTTACACTGATACCAAATCATAAGAATCTATCGAAAATCAGTACAAGGGTCCACCCCAACATGGTTCTTCACATTACAACATAAACTGTAATCATGGATCACCAACAAATAACAAGAGCAAATCAATTGCTTTT